AGGTGCGAAGTGGTGTGGCACATTCTGCCACATTATGTAAAGGTTGTTGGAGATTAGTGTTCAGACTTAATAACTAAAGCGCTTGATTTACATTGGAAAAAAGCCCCCTCATCCGTGAAAGCAAAATAATTTAACGCGTGATCATTTCGAGTGCTGCTGATATCCTAATACTTGCATTGTTCTCGGCCAAGTACTAGAGGAGCGCGGATTGATGCTTTTGGGAACCTATCATTTACAGCCACTGAACTCTGCTCAGAACTGGAGATCTGGAGGAAAGATAAAAGAGGGACACAAGAGAAAAGTTTTGCATTAAGGGGAAAAAAAAAAAAAGGAGAAAACAATATAAATGTGACAGTTTCCCCCCTCCCTGAGGAGGACTCCGTGCCTCCTGTCCGGTGCCAGGGCGAAGCAGCGCCCAGGTCTGCGGAGAGGAAAATTGGGCTCAGGTCTCAGGCTCTTCCCTACTCCGCCTTCCCCCGTCGGAGCAGAATTACTTACCTTACTAATTATTCATATTTATGTAAATGTCATTAGTTAATGTAACTTTCTATAAAAAGATAATCAGGCGAGAACTGAGCATAGGTATTACCTTAAGTGCATTGGCTCTGCTTGTTTCATTCATATGTTAATACACGTGATGCAGTCATGCCAGGCGTGGGGAGGGTGCAGAGGAGGGGAGAGGAGGAAGGCGAGGGAAAGAAATTAAATAATAATAACAAAGCCCCACAAAGGCTTCAAGTTTGCATCGCGGGATCAAGGAACACGATGCCTTCTGATGCGCTGAACAAAGGGGGGACCCGGCGCCGTCCCAGCCGCGGCGGCTGCCCGGGCATTCCGGCAACTTTGGGTGGCTTTTTGGTTTGTTTGTGTCCCCTCCTCTCCTGGATGAGAATTTTATGCTTCAAACCGTTTCGATTTACCCAAATCCTCGTGCCGAGCTGAGTCCCTCAATTTCCGAAAGACCCGAATTAAAGTATTTTTGTATGGGACACGCACCAATTAAAATTGCAATACCTTTTTGCATCCCTTTTTAGTGTAAGCATTTTAGGGCCATTTCCATAAATTCTCAACGAGAATAAAGGCTATAATGGGAACAAGGTGAGAAAGCTGTTAACCATTGTTTCAGCAAGAAAAGGTCGTAAGTCAGGCAATTGGTGTCTGACCTGTCAGGATAAGGTATAAAGGCTTTATTCATGCAGTCGCTCACGATTTTCTCAGCTCTCACAAAAGTGTTTTTATGATTCTGTTTTCTTACCTCGTTCCTTAATTAAAAAGCTGAATGATTAGAATAGCACCTGCATAATGTCTGAACGACGCCTGCATACTAATTCGCGAGTCTTTACATCTAGTAATTATAACATAAAATCAGAGATTGAATAAAACAGAAGGATTTTGCCCCTAAAGCCCTGCTAATCCTCTTTTAAAAGAGTCTGCTGAAATAATTCAGAACAGTTTCCGGAAGTTGGATTACCGATTCTTTTTTGACTATTTACAATGAAATGATATTTCACACTTAAAGGAGTCTCTGTATTTCTACAACAGGTTTTTAAAGGTGGCCTGTTTTCTAGACAATAACAATCCAGTGACTCCTTTCTTTTCCTACCCATTTTTTTTTCCTCTTCCTCCCAGCAAGGTCTTCATTTTTATCAAATATATGAGAGGATTAATCTGTCCTCAGGTAGGGATAACAAAACCTCCCCCCTTGAAACCTCCGTTTGAGTCCCCACTCCGGGACTCCCCAGAACGAGGGAAGAGGGAGGGCTGCAGGAGGGCAGTCCAGTTTTGCCCAAGTTGAGATGCACCCCTATTTCCCGGCCGCTCCCAGGAGCAGGCAGTGGAGCAAGGAGCTCCCACTGCTTCACTATGACCCTCATCCAGGGCAGAGGATCATTTAAGCCAGCAGTGACCAGGCAAAAGTTGGAGACTAATTTTTTGTGTGTCTTCCCGAACCAGCTGGGGGTGGTGGGGGAATGGTGATGTCTGCGCTTTTGTCTGACTTTCAGGGCGACCTGTAGCAGTGTCCTCAGGGGTAGCAGCAGGGCGGGAGAGGGGCAAGAGGGAGATGTTGGGCTCTGGCAAGGTACTCTCGGGGGGTTCCCCCCAACTTGGGCTGGCGGCGCAGCCCCTCAAGGCTCACCCCGGCTCCTGCCACCGGGGGCTCAAGCCGGCACCCAGAGGTGGCTTCCTCAGTCCAGGCACAGCCCCAGTGACAGGAAGACAGGTTTTACGACAGTATCGAGTCGATTCTGTGGGTAACACAGATGTGGGAGGAAAAAAACAAACAAACAAACAAACAAATCAACAAACAACTAAAAATCTGCCGATTTGTTAAAGCGTCCTATTTATTTTAAGAAAAAGGTTTCCTCGTAGCCCGGGATACTCCAACCTGGTCATGGGGTTGGTCGCCTCGGATGAAGAAGAGAACGAAGCTGATGTGTGATTTTGAAACGCGAGAGCTGGTGCCTGCACCCTTTGCATCCTATGGGATCTCGGAGCCTGATGCAGACGAGTCAACGTGGTCCTGGTCTCAGAGCGGGATGGATCCTAATGTAGAAGAAGTTGTGAATAAAGTCAGTCTCACAGGAAGTCGTGGAGGTTTCTCTGAGCTGTTGTCATCATTAGGACCACCTTAATCTGCTGTGCCTTTTTGGTTTTTTTTTTTTTTGTGTTTTTTTTTTTTTTTTTTTGGTGTTTTTTTTTTTTGGTTAAGTGTTTGAAAGTTGGTTTTGCGGTAACTCCTTCTCCTCTCACAGTTCAATTCTGCAAAAACTCTAAATCGTATAGAAGAAGATGGAGTCAATGTGTCATTCGGCATTAAAAATCTAGAGGTTTTAACTAAAATCTCTAATTGCTATCCTGGCCCCCTTATAACCATGGGAACGACATACTCCGTTGGGATCTCAGAAATGTTACATATCCCTTAAGCAGGCACTCCCCTTGTTTGTTTACTCTAGCTTACTTTCATTTATATCCCAGGAATATTATTTCAGTAGGCGACACACGAAAAGACAAAGGGTGTAAATAAACCAACATATGGCCCAGAGGTTTTAGAGAAGCTGGAGCCGCTTAGCAAGTCATGTGGGTGATACTGGGAATCCGTCTTCTGTCCTTCCCCCACTCCCTCATAACCTCTTTCTCCCTGTGTTTTCCTTCTACCTTCTCACGATAAGACACGCTCGTGTCGCGACCGGCTTTGGGGGACCAGATGGTTTTTCCTTCGTACTGGAAAAATCTGGGCAGCGGAGGGATGGGGAGGGATGGACGCGGGTCTGCGTGTCTGTGCCTCTATGTGCAGCTGGAAAAAGCCCGTTGACATCACAAATGTTTGCGGGGCAGTGTGTACACACGCACATCAGCCCTGGCTGCGGTCGCACCCGGGTGGAGGGGCCCAACCCCGGGCAGGGGCACCGGCCAGATCCGGGCCGTGCCGGGCTGGGCGGCCCCATGGGGCGGGCGGCTGGAGAGGCGCCGAGCAGGGTCGAGCAATCCGGCGCCCACAGAGACACTTGACAACCTTTTTTTGTTGTTTCCAATTGTAATCAATTTCAGGGTTTCTCTCCCCAAAAACCTAACCGGGTCCGAGCGCCGCTCTGTCCGGGAGGTGCGGGGTGTTTAACCGCACGCTGCGCCTCCTTCCCCTCCGCTTCTCCGGGTAAGGCGGCGGCAACGGGTCTCGGTTACTGATTCATATTTCTAATCTTCCTTTCCTGAACATACAATGTGCTTTTGTTAAATGAATGGTCTTTAATTAATGCACTTGCACAATGCAGGGACTTGCATGGGGATCGATGATAGGAAGCAACAGGGGATGGTTCCCTCCAAAATGGTTTGTCAGCATTGAGAAAGAAAAGGCAATGTCTATAAAAGGGCCACTAATAATGCCCACACGTCTCTCACCATGTTGTCTGAGGGGACATTCCTTCCCTTGTTGACAGTCAAGTGTAATAAGTACATGTCTTCGCTCAATCATTATAGACCATAGAATTGTATTCTTTAATTAGCATGTACTGTTAGCCCTCCTTTCCATTATGGGCCAGTTTTTGTCTTTTACAGACTAGCAAAAATGTTTCCCTTCGTTCCTTTTTCTCGAATTCTATTATTTCTGAAATTATTTTCTTTCTTTCTTTCTCTCTCTCCCTTCATGTAGTCGAATGTATTCTTTATTGACAATATTCCTGGCAGCCAAAGCCAACTTTTTGTCATCCCTCTGTGTTAGGCAACTTCTTTCAAGTTTTCATTTCCAAAAGGACTCAGGGCAGCGCATGCGCAGGGCCCTGCTGTGCCCGGGGCTGCTCCAGCCTCCAAACACCAGAGCTGGGGCTTGGGTTTGTCATGCCAGGAAAACTGGGCAGGTTCGAGAGCTGCGGAGCCCTGCAACGTATTAACATCGGTTAGGAGAATATGCGAGGCAAAGAAGGCTTACTTTAGCTGACGACAGAATTTCCTCTCCTTAAAAAAAAAAAAAAAAAAAAAAAAAAAAAGAAAAAAAAAAGAAAAAAAAAAGCTCTAAATCCTCCTAGGAACCTCACAAAAAGTGTCACTGTGACAGGGGCTCATTCTGGGGGGTGGGGGGGAATTCTTCAAAAGAGCACTTGCATCCTATGGAACAAGAACCCCTCGGGGAGGAGGGGAGCAGCAACCCCTCGGGGTGTCCCCGCTGAAAATGTCACCAATGCCCAGAGTGTTCGTGGCCAAATGCCCGGTGTTGGTGACCCCAGAGCCGCACGCTGCCCGTGCAGCAGCCAGGGTGTCCCTGCAGAGGTAACCGGGACACACACATCCCCCCAGAGGGACGGGGTTCCACTTGGGTGACGCTGCTCTCTGTTTTTACGCTCTACACTTCGGTCAGTGCTTTAAGTACAATTCGTTTGAAGCCTGCTATCTGAAAAATACTGTCTCAGAAATGAAGCCACAGAACTATTTTGTTTTGTTCTTTTAATACAAATGCCAACCTAAAACGATTAACATTAAAAAAGGTTAAAGACCAACAAAAACCCCCACGCATTAATACTCGATTGTACACCACATTAATAGTACACAGGTTAGGGGAAATTTCTTGTCAACTGATACGAAAATCAACAGAAAGCCAAGGCAGATTACACAGTGTTTTAGGAAAGGCTCGGTATCATCAGTATATCAACACATATTTTAAAAGTGCATGTTTGTAAAAATAACCATAGAAATGAAATGTTTATAAATATTTATTGTAAAAAAACCCAAATATTAAAAATAAATAGTATGTTCAAGCACACAACAGAACATTCCTTCATTACCAAACATGTGATGAAGAAAAATAAGGAATTATAAGAAGTTTGGAAAGAGATACAGTACATCAACATTGTAAATGTGTTTTTTTTTGTAAGCTACATTTTCAGAGGCTTCTTCTCTGTACAGTTCACAAAGAATGCCCTGGATTTTCCCATAAATATGACAAGATCCAAAATTAATAACAATAATAATAATAATAATAATAATAATACCCACTCCACTGCAAATTGACTCGGTCTTTACCCAGAAAAGGTCCCATTAAATTAATGGATTGGCTTAGAATGGCAGGATTGGGCTCAGATCGTTCTGTAACAACTAAAACAGAAGTACACCGATGAGTTACAACTCCAAGGAATTCGTATTCCGAACACAGTATTGCGTGATCTCCAATGAGAAACTACTAAATAAATCTTGGTTAGGGAATCATTTCAGTACAACACCGTTATGTTTATAAAATGAAGATACAAAAGGGGTGCAGTTCAACTATCCTTACACTCACAGACAATAAAACATGAGAGCATATGGAAGCCATCACTTTGAATGCATTAACAACTTCGATACATTGCACTATATACATGCTTGATAGGTATCCGGCCCGTTAAAATCATCAAAGATTTCACTCTTATGTCTGTGCTCTTGTTTTTACTCTACTAGAAAGAAAACATTTGTTGGTAACATAGTGGTGTTAATGAAACCCAACATTTCTGCCTTTGCCTAAGATTCTCATTCTGTGCAGAGTGTGTGTAGGAATAATTTATTAGATGGAAAAGTTTGGAGGATGAAATGCAAAAAAAATGGTCATAATTTCAACTTTCGAACTGTAAGGTCATACAGATATCTATGGACCTTTGTACACAGACAGCGTTTCACGCAGACACAGCCACGTATGTCCAGATGTATGTCTATACAAAGGATTCGATAGTTTGGTATTTTCTGCACCCTCTGGGCCCCTAAAGTTATCTTTAAAAGTTTGATTTTTATCTCTTTAGAAACGGTTTAAAGCTAACGGGCAGGGTGGGGTGAGTTTGACAGAGAGGAGAACAAATCGCTGACAAAGAACCTTTTACGTTTCATCAGCGTTGTTAGGACGACGAGCAGGAATTTCTCAGATAATAACTCCCACTTCAAAGATTTCTCAGCTCAATAGAAATTGGACCATCCTTTTTATTCAACCACAGAGGCTGGCACTAAAGACGACTCAACTGTTTGAATTTTTTTCCCCCGTGTTTATTTTTCCCCTATTCACAAGGGTACTTGGATAAAATAAACAACAAGACAATTACTGGAACATGGACTTCTAACTTTCCCGGGCCCATAGCCCAGCGCCCATGGCCCCGGCCGTGCGGGTGTCAAGTTCCCCGCACCGCGGAGCCTCCCCTCGGTGCCGCGAGGCGACAGCCGGCCCGAGTGGGGTGTAAAGAGGGGCACGGGCAGTTCCCCCCGCGCCTCGCCCCGCTTTCCCGGGTCCTGGGGCACTTCCATCAGCACACCTACTCCCTGGAGCCAAGGCAGCCCAAGGCAGCCCAAGGAGGGGGGTCCATCCTATCTTCCCCTGCCGGGGGTGGAGGGGGGAAAGAGAAGGAAGTAATTCTTAGGGGTTTGTGGCCAGTTTTGCTACGAGAAGCTGGTCAGAAAGGCTGGTCAGCGGGCGGGAGATTCCTCCGAGGCTGGGGAGCTACCAGTCCCTCACTTTGGGGAGAAGGAGCCCGGAGCTGCAGCGCCGGAACGGAGCCCGCCTCGGGGGGAGGGCGAAAGCCAGCAAAGCCCAGCTCCGCCGAAGTGCATTAGGTGGAGGAAGTCTATCTCTAGCGGGGAGCAGATTGAGTGTATTAAGCTAGCATGAAACCAAAGGTCAGTGCAAATGTATCTTAATAGACTGTCTCAAATGGAGTGTGCCTCCTTTGAAGGCCGCTTGCTATTGCTCTCCTCATTACCATAGCGATCCTAACGTGGCATGCTGATGCACCATAAAACTCACACTTTCAACCCCAAAATCAGGCTCTTTGAACAACCCGAGCTTGATTAGACCTTTCTCCTTTTCTTTCCCCCCTTAAAAACCATTTCCTTGCCTTTAGAAACTCGCTCTCAAATCCCAAATGCATTCTCTGATCCTGGCAGAAAGCAGAAACAAAAGTGAGCTGAGGCGACGGTTCAAGCGGGCCTTTTCTTCCTGACAGTCTTATCCATTTTTATTATGGTCTGGAACAAGTGCCCTGTTCGCGTGGGTTTTGTTTACCGGAAATTAAATGAAAATGATTTAGTTCGCGTCAAACAAAAATATATACTTGTATACACAAGAAAAAGGGCCTGTTAGACGTAAATATTATGTCCTTAATGAAAAGACTGGACGGGCTCCAGACTTCGCCTTTCACTATTTAAGTATGACTTGCCTATTGCCATAGAAATCCTAACTTACCATGAAGATTCACCGTTGTGAAGAAATACTTCTTTGTGCGAGCTTGCTTTGATGTCTAAGGCAAAAGATTCAGGCTTTCAGCTGCGTCTGTCTAGATTACCTTGAGAGCAACGGGGTAGACATCTGTAACAAGCAAATGAAAAATTAAAGGTGATTAGCCTGCACATCCAAATACTTCTGTAAATAGAGAAATAAAGAAATAAACAGATATCAGGACATTACAGACACATCCTCCCTGCTCACATCTGGCTTCTGCACCCCTCGATTTCCATGACACAAGTTTCGGGGTCTGCGAAGGGGCACAACTCTCCCCTGTTTATGCTCCTCTTTCACACATTGCTCTCGCCTAGCTAATTCCCTACGCGTATTCCCGGTAGCGACATGCTGTTGTCAGTATTCGTGGTATTTCAACACAAAAGTTGTCGAGTTTGGGTGAGTAAAGAAGGGAACCCCGACTTGCTGCCGTGGGAGGAAAATACAGAAGCATCAGTAAGGGAAGCACTGGGTGTGGGGTATTTTTAGTCACTGACCAGCTATTAATTCTCCTGCAGCTTTTATAGCTACAGTAAATTTATATATATATACATATATCTATTTATGGATACGATTTACACGTGTGTATATGTGTGCAGTTGTACACACACACTAACCCCAGTCACCTGGGTGCAGAGGTGATCTGTCAGACACGAGAGGATGTGGTTAGAGCATTATATAGATTCTCTCTGTACTCTGCAAGCCATAGAAACCCCTTCCAGCAGCCCATGCTATTTATTTGTCTATCCTATCTGGTATTCTTAAACAACATTAAAGTAATTAAACCGGCACCATTCAGTAGTCTCAGGCTACCCCAGTGGACAGGTTTGGTTATTTATTTTGGGTTTTGTTTATTTGTTTTTCCTCTCCCTTCTTTCTCTGAATCAGTGTAGCGGACCCTGTAGGTCTCAGAGTCTGGGGCAGGATGGAGGTGCTAAAGCCGCGTTGTGGGACCGGTTCGTTCTCATCGGGGCCACTCGCAGGGCAGATGCCGTGGAGCAGCAGCCCCGGGTCCCCCCTCCGCGGGGGCTGCCTGGCCCCCGCCCTGGCGGTGACGTCGG